AATGCTCTTATTTTGCACATGAGGCAAATAAGATTCATAAAGAGGATATAACTTAGTTCAAAGTTATGCAATGCAGGACCTGATTAAACCTTGCAGAGATAACCTTAGACCTTTACTGAGCCTCTAATTTTGCCTTTACTGAAACTATAGTCTTGAATTGGCAGTTATACCCTATTATTTGTCAATAATTGATAGCATGAGCTGGAATAAATTCTTATTCCTGTTCTGCCCCACCGATTCTCCCTGTATATAATATATGTGATTTAAAAATTCAAGAATAATAATACTGACTTAGATTTGTAATAGTAATACTCTTTTTAGTTTATGATAGTTTTCACATTCACTTGCCTTATTTTTCTCTATTTTATGAATAAGAAAAGTAAAGCTCCAAATGTTGAATGTCATGTTGAAGTTCACACAGCTAGAAAGAATAAAACCTAGTATCAGAAGCTGTATCAGTATATTCCAGGAAACATTCCATTTTTTATGACATAAATAAGCCAGAATTCTGAGTTCTTCAGTTGAGTATGTATTGTGATATCACAAATCTAAACACAAAGTAGTTACCATTAATCTCAGATGATCCAAATACTTGTATCCTAATTTATTCCAGTAAAGTGGTGACCTAGTGGAACCGTTGAAGACAGCTTTACTAGACAAGTTCTACATCTTTGTGTAAGAAGTGAAAAGTGAAGCGAACTACAGTTTAAAATTGTAGAGTTATTATCTTATCTTAAATTAAACCTTACTTCCCTTCTGTTCCTGGCTATCCTAAAGAGACAAGTAAATTTCAGTAAATGCCAATGGCCTCTGTGCTCTACCTTCTTAAGTTTTATTTCTATGAATAAATGGTACTCAAAAACAAGTTTGTATAAAATATAAGAGCCTAATTACTCTTGCACAAATTTAGTTAAGGTACAAAAGTTGAATTCAAAAAGGACTGTGAGACATCAAAACTTTCTCTTCATCTGTAAATCTGTTCTTTGTATCATTCCTAACAACCCGGACCATATTAAACATAGGACATCCTGTACTTTTAGAAAATAAGAAATTTTAACATGACCTGAAACCTTTGATGTAGAAAACATTTGCTAGACTAAAAAAGTTTACTGTTTAAGTAATCTTAAGTAATATCAATAGTAATGTGTTTTCTAAATTTTTGAAGTAATTTCAATGGATACTCAAGTAATTCTTAATTACAGTTGACACACTTTTACCATTTTATTTCTTAACTACATTCAAACACAACTATCCCTTATAAGCTAATGAAACAACTTTATGTAGTACAGTTATGGCTGTGATAATACATGTATTATCCAAAAATAGTTTGGTGAGATTAAAAGGATCAATGTTATGAAAGAAACATTCAGATTTAGTAAATAGATCTTTGCTTTGTGCAAAGCACTGTATTTGATAAAATAAGGTATAAGAAGAATCAAGGTCATGGTCATTTCTCTCCAGGAACCATGTTATTTGGGAACAGTCAGAATATGAGTAACTATAACAAGATCGATAAGAAAGGGTGTGATAAGATGCTTTAAGGATGTAGAAAAAGCTAAACCTAGATTATGGTGATGGTCATACAACCATGTGAATTTACTAAAAGTCATCAGATTGAATAAAATGAATGAGTTTCATTGTACATAAATTATAACACTATTAAAAGAGTTAGGAAAAGAATATAATGTTTCTGATTGAGGAAACTTGGATATATTTTTCCAGCTGATTCAGTGTAAACAATCTTAAAAGCTAATGTTAATTTGGATGGGGAAATGAGGAAAGGAATATTCCAGAGAAAATAAACAACTTTTCTCATGTCTAAAATCTCAAAAGCACAAGATATTTTCTAGAGGAGCTGGCTTATACTTCACATATGGACCTTGGATTATATGGTTTGTGTTCCTTCTAGACATATAGCCCTGTGTAAATTTCTGGCCAGTTCCTGCAGAGAAACAGAAAGCTGTATGTGGATTTTTTCCCCCTTCTCTTTGGATCAAGAGCAAGAGCTTACCTCTTATAATAAAGTTATATAATCTGAATTATCTCAAAGTTGGCAATGATGCCAGTGATCATAACAACTCCTGGTATTTATTTTCATCTTTGTAAAAATCACTGATACTGCACTTTCTCCTTTGAACCACAGCAATCTTAACTTTTCCAATGAGGAAACAGATTGTAGGAGGACCCAACACCTAAATGATTAAAGCCATGCTAAAGTGAATGCCGAGCTCTTCTGGCCTGGAATGGAGGAGAAAAAATAATAATCCAACCAAATGGTCTTTGAATAATTACAAATCTGTCAACTAAATTGAGATGCCACACATGAATCTGAATTCTCATAACAAAACAAAACAAATTAGATGAAGTTAACTAGTTACTGTAATCAGTAATGGGAAGTTAATGTGAATATTTTTCCATGATATCATATTATTGACAGTAACAGCATATATTAAATACATTTTATTGATAGTATAGCAGAGTAAGCAGAAAACTTAGTTTCTAAATAGGCAACCCTTTTTGTTCTTTTCTTTGAACAATGCAGGAAACTAAACTTGAATCTTTGTAAACCATAGGATTTCTAATTAACTTAAGCAGACAGGTGTGTAAAAACTCATTGTGTAATCTAAAATGAGATTCCTGCCAATAAACTCAGTAAAGCTAAAAATACAAAGATAGGATTTTCTTAATGTCCATCAAAGAGACTTCTTTTGTTCTTGCTTTTGACCAATCTGGACAAATACTCAGTGTATATATATATATATATATATATGAACCATACTTTATAGTATTTAAAAGAAAAAGAATTCAAATTAATCTGGTGAGCAGCAAAATGGAGGAAGTTTCTATGAAACCTGTTTGTGTTAACCTACAATCAAATGTAGTCTTCATTTTAATATTTACACATCCTTATATTGTTACGAACCTATTTTCAACATGGGTTTGATTCTATTTGTTTCTCTCCTCCCTTACTTCTGTGACATGCAGAAAGGAAAAAGATGTTTGTTATTCACACATTCATACCTTACTAACTGGTGTTACACATCCGGCTTCCACTGGAGAGCCCCTGACATCGCAGGGAACGGTGATCAAAATTCCACACACTAGCTTCAAGCTGGGGGCTCGTAGCTACTGCAGCATTGAAAAGGAATCTTTTCCTGGCTTCTTTCAAATAAGCATGGTGATGGGATGGTTTAAGGGAAGAACACCTCTCAACTCACATGACCACTGCTGTGCTTCCGTGTGTCCTGCTTTCTTCATAACAGCTTGGCGCTACATTCTTTCCCTGTATCTTAGTGGGCTTGTGTGTATCAGTGCAGTAGGAGCTGGGGAAGTCAATGGATAGTTACATCATGCATGCATCTTTCACTTGTTTGAGTGATGTCACACATTGTGGTCGATGTCACACATTATGGTCTATGTCACACATTATGGTCGCAGATGAAATCTGTGTCCTGAGAGATTGGACCATCTCTCACCTTTGGATATGAGAGTTATGTTTTGGTGTGTTTTGACATTTACACCCCCACAGTTCTTCATGTTCATTACATGTCAGTTGAAATGTTCTTGCGTAAGAGTTAGCTTTTCATGTCGGGCTGAAAAGATCTTCATTTCTGTGTAGCAGTTCATGTTATTATAACCTATGGCTTTCAATTGTACTTCCCATAATGAAGAGCTGACTTTAAACACTGTGCTATTCTTGTTATGACCTAAACATAAGGTAAGTGATTTCTCTAAATGTACTTAAAAATTGTTACAATTTTCTCAGCTTTTTTAAAGGCATTTTTGCTTTTCTTCTTCACCATTATGTGCTCTCCCTCCTGTTTTCTGTTTCTTAAGATTTCTTAATAGACAATGTGATTTTCAGCAAATAATTGTATTACACATGTAAACACATGTTGAATTGAATTATTTGATGTTTCAATGTATACTTAATTAGTAAAGTAGTAGTTCAGTTACATTAAGCACTATTACTATCTTAGTAAGTCCTCACTGTTTTTCATTTCCTCCTCTGACTAATATAATATACTGTTTCTACATATTATTTTAGCTTTCATTCCAATTGGAATGAGAATTGTTTACCAACACTGTAAAGTTAGATGTCAATTGTAATCCAATAACATGTCCCAATAGAATACAATAGTAAGTAATCTGGTATTATACTGTTCACTCAATCCTTCATTTTAATCCCTAATAAATTTTATATTAAACCAAAATCTTAGCTTTATTTTGTTTTTCAGATTTTCCTTTTTTTTTTCATTGAATAAACCAAGGATAAGAGAAAAAAATAGAACAATAAACCATGAAATTTGAAACAGGATCTGTGTTCTCTTCATTATATTCCGTATGAGTCAGAACAAGAGATACAGGTGTCTTTCAACTTAATTATCTGAAGTAGAGCCAATCGCATTGTGAGTTAGGTAAAATGCACTGGAGTTCACCAGTTGAGACAAATGTTACAACAATGATCAGGTTCATAATACAAGGCATAAGTTCATTTGCAACATGCATAAATAGTAACACACTTTAAAAACTTATTTGCTTAAATGGATGTGATTATATATACTCAAGAAGACCAAAGTACTCTCATAATTAATTGATTTTAAATGTAATAATTTCCCCAAATCTAGTACAAATAGCCATTGTAATATAAATGAGAAAACATTGGTAATAACATTATGAACTTTCTTTAATGCTCAAAGATCTGCTTTCCTCATGCATATTTCTCTAAATAAAGTTGTTATAAAAATTTAGTTCTAAACTAAAGTACCACAAAGCAACACTTAGCCATTTTTATTAAATGCATGTTATGACCAATTTTATTTATTTTTTTTTTTTTTTGCTAAAACCAGCAAATTCCTCATGACCATTTCAATTATATACATTGTGGAATGTATATAATAGACATCATGTAAATCTGTTGGAACATTATAAGACAATTTGAATTGCCCATCTGAACTGCTCTGTTCATTGAAAATCTCTTGTTTCTACCCATGCACTAGCTCCACTCTAGATTGGAAGGGCTTAAAGATGAACTCTGGAGGAATAGAGGCTACGACTTAAGAGTAACTATTACGATCAAAGGAGCTGCTTTTCATTCGCAAACAGTGCTTTGCGCTATGGGTTTGGGCTCCTTCTGTTTCTACGTCTTGTTAAAGACTTTCTTCCATTTGACTTCCTTGAACTCCATTTTTGTCTTTCAACATTTTCCTCTTCTCTTCTCTCACAGATTTTTCCCTTTTAGATTGCTCTTGTGTTCCTTGAGTCACTTTTTAGAATGTAGTTTCCCTCCTGAAGCTTGTCTATTAATTTGTCCACTGGTGTTTGTTTCTTTTCTCCTTTAAGGCTATAGTAGTATCATTATTTTCATTTCGTAGTATGCCAACTTGCTTATTTATTTTGCAGCAAGTTCATTACTCATTCTTATCCTCTTGATATGACTTAATAGAAAATAGCAGAAATTTTCCATATATGCATTGTCCTCTTCTATAAACCTATCCTTGCTTTTATATAGTCTGGATTTATATCCTAAGCTTCTCTCTGCCTTTTCTTTTCCTTACTCTCATGTCTTCTTCCCTGTTTGTTTTTTTCTTTAAACAGTCATAAATTTATTTCTCATTTGGTCCAGAATTATTCTTCAGTAAGAATTTTGAGAAAACAAACCAACAGACAGAAAAAGTTTTAGGTTCCAGTTTAATTTCTTCAATCTAGGATATATAAAACTAGTTGAGCAGTCTGGGCCAAAAGAGAATAACCTTACCATTTGATATTACTTCCTCTCCCCTCCCCATTTTCTTGGTGTGTGTATTCTTTTTCTTGTATGTGTTTGTGACATTTTTATTTTTGTTTCTTTAAACATTAACAATTATTTTTTTCAGGGAAGGACAATCATAACCCACCCTAAGTTTCAACATCCCTTTCATAAATTGTTTCATTACAATAGTAGATTGTGTTATAATATAGATATTAATTTTTTGTATATAATAAATTGGGGGCAAGCTGCTGGGGAGTGGGAAAAGAGTATGGAGCTTAAATGCAGTTTCCTCTGAAATTAACACTGTCAGTGCAATCCAACATGGCCCTTGAATACAGCAGTTTTACAACATTCCTATGAAAGTTCCACATTGACATAAGTATTTCAACCAAAAAATAAGGATTTCTGATTAGTATAAACCTAAGAATTAATAAACCAGTTTGTTCAATTTAATTATTATTATAAGTCATATTTTATAACAGTTGTGGCTGATAAATGACCAAAAATGTTAGAAAAATATTCCATATGAGAAGTTCCTCTCATTAACATATGTACTAAAATTATAATAGTATATAAGTATTACTTTATTACTTGAATTTCATTATAGTCAAGAGATATACTAAATGCTGTAATTTATGCTAAATACTAAACTATATTCACAAGTTAATATACAGCAGCTTGAATTTTTTTCCCATATATGATCATTGCTTGGTTCCAACAACCACCAATATTCTGAAATACTCAGTCCCTGAAATAAAATGCCATAGTATCTGCATACATCCTGAACACATCCTCCTGTATAATAGAAATAAGCTAGATTACTTGTATTAATTAGTGCACGGCAAACACTTTTTAAGTAGCTGTTATACTGTATTGTTAGAGAACAATATCAGGGGAAAATATTCTGTATATGTTCAGTGCAGATGTAGGTTTTTCCCAAATGTTTTTAATCCATGCTTGGTTAAATCCACTGATGTCGACAGCCAGTTGTACTGATCTTACATTAAAACATTTTAAATCCCCCTTGGTTTTCATTTCTATCCAATTTGTAATATTGTAACCCACATTTCTTTCTCTGGAAGTAATCTCTTTCTTTAAGAAGATAAACTTGAAAATGTATGGAACAGAATAACATTTTTAGTAATAAGTTATGATATATTTTTACTAATATGTTGTAACATCTGGGATATAAAGAGCCTTACTCCCAAACCGCAGGAGCTTGCCCATTAATTATACATGCTTGGCTATCCATGTTTTGAGCCCTAAATTACTGAGTATATGCTCTTTCTACAGGTCCAGTCCAGATGCAGCAGCAAGGAGAACATTCTCAGAGCCAGTAAGTGTTTCATCATGTTAGAGCAAACTGCTGAATTAGAATGTATGATTGATTTGTATGTAGAACTACAAATGAAATCTTGGTGAAAGTATGGAAATCAATGGGGAAGTTTATATCAAAAATCTGAATGCTAATATCAATTTTCAAAAATATTAACATCAAAATGGAACAAGTAGTTTTTTAGATGCTTTTGTCAGCTGAGTGCAGAACTTTGATACACTTCTAGAGCAGGAATGCACTCCTCGGTGAGTCTAAATGAGACCCTCTTTAGTTTCCTCACCACCAGATTGTTATCTGAAAACACATCCAACTGAAGACAGCAATACTGAGATCCATTAAAGGAGACCAAGTCAGGGAGAGAGAATCTGTTGGAAATAAGAGAAGTACATCATTATCATTTTGTGACTCTGAAATCCTGAAATAGCTTTCCTTCACAGGCAGCATGTTTTAGAATATTATGTCCTGAACCAAGCATTAGAGAATTTTTAATTGTATCCTTTTCAATCACTAATAGCATTAACTCAGGAGTCATTTGGCATTGTGTATTATTCATCCTACTGTTTTATAAAAAGGAATTTTAAATAGCTTTTCCTTACTTGAATCCTTGAAATGACTTAAAGCTGTACCTTGAAAGCTTTATATCCTAAGACAAAAGAGATACCTAGATTCTACTTTATTATTATTCTCTGTCAAATAATAGCTTAATGATACCATGCCATCTTCTTCCTGATCTTTATCAAAGAATTGCAGTCATTTTGGAATAGATCTTCTGGGAACCCACAGTACAGAGAGATTTAATAAGTGAAACAATTTGGATTTCCAGTAGAATATAAGTATTGTTTAACAAACAAGTTGATTGGAGAACTTCAGAAAGCCAAAAAAAGCTTTTAATTATCATGGATTTTTTATTTCTGTGTTGTAAATCTGTTATTTTAACTCAAAACTCTTGGCAGGCACACACTATTATTTCTTGCTCAAGACTTTATAGTAGAGCTATATAAATTACAAATAAAAATTGACATGTTTAATTCATGTATTTTCCCCGAGATTCCATAAAAGTTTGACAAATGTAAGAGTCTCATGGAGGTGTTTCGGTAATAAAGGATATAAAATCCCATGTTACCTTAATGTAATTACATCCTAAGGTAAGATTAAGAATCCTGAAGGTCAGAAAGCAATAATGATTCATTAAAATAAAATCACATAGATAAGCATACTTAAAAAGTGATATTCTATCATTATTACCATATAATTTCTGTTTATTATTCATCTTCACTCCACATCTATCCTGAATCTTTGTGTCTTTCGTTTTGTTTATGCTCTTACTGGCTTGATGGCTAATGACAGCTCTGCCTGGAAAAGTAACAGGCAGAAGATGGCTTGAGTGATTGGACACCAACCACCCAGGTGGGAGACTCAGACATAGGTCCTGGCTCCTGTCCTAAGCCTGACCCAGTCCCAGCTCTTATACCCAGTTAAGGAGAGAACCAGTAGATGAAGGATTTCTATCTGTCTCTCTGTCTCTCCTTCCCTCCCTCCCTCTCTTACAACTCTGCCTTTCAAATCAGATGCAGTAAATGTTAAAGAAAGTTCTTGGGTAAGATGAGATTTTGGTGTTGCAGTTAAGACACTGCTTGGGACAAGAGCAACAAATCAGAAAATCTGGACTTAGTTCTCAGCTCCACCACTGATTTCAGCTTCTTGCTAGCGTCTGTTTGGGAAGGCAGCAGGTACCATGCCAAAGCCAGGAACTGGAATTCAAATCAGCAGTTACCAATGTTGTAATTCAGCTAGTTAAGCCATTGCCTGTAATGCTGGCATCCGATATGAGTGCCAGTTCAAGCCCTGTCTGCTCTACTTCTGGTTCTGTTTCCTGATAACGTGCCTGGGAAAGCAGTAGATGTCCCAAGTACCACTCCATGTGCCACTCGCATGGAGACCCAGTTGTTGTTTCAGACTCCTGGTTTCAACCTGGCCTACCTCCACCATTGCAGATATTTGAGGAAAGAACTGGAATGTGAGAGCCAGGAGTCAGCCACACAATCCAGGCTTTTACAAAGGCAGTGGGAACCCAGACACTGGAGCTCTTACAGTTGCCTCTAGGGTGTACACTGGCAGGAAACTGCAGCTAGAGCCAGACCTGGTCAGTGAAGCACAGGGTGAATTTCTTATTTGCTAGACCAAATGGCCGCATCACTAAATCTGTTTTTTTTTTTAAAGATTTATTTTTATTATTTTTTCATTGGAAAGGTGGATATACAGAGAGGAGAGACAGAGAGGAAGATCTTCCATCGATGATTCACTCCCCAAGTGAGCGCAACGGGCCGATACTATGCCGATCCGAAGCCAGGAGACTCTTCCGGGTCTCCCACGCGGGTGCAGGGTCCCAAAGCTTTGGGCCGTCCTCGACTGCTTTCCCAGGCCACAGGCAGGGAGCTGGAAGGGAAGCAGGGCTGCCGGGATTAGAACCGGCGCCCATATGGGATCCCGGGGCGTGCAAGGCGAGGACCTTTAACCACTTGCGCCACCGTGCCGGGCCCAAATCTGTTTTTTTTTTTTAAGATTTATTTATTTTTATTACAAAGTCAGATATAGAGAGAGGAGGAGAGACAGAGAGGAAGATCTTCCATCCGCTGATTCACTCCTCAAGTGAGCACAATGGCCGGTATTGCACCGATCCAAAGCCGGGAACCAGGAACCTTTTCCGGGTCTCCCACACGGATGCAGGGTCCCAAGGCTTTGGGCTGTCCTCAACTGCTTTACCAGACCACAAGCATGGAGCTGGTTGGGAAGTGGAGCTGCTGGGATTAGAACTGACGCCCATATTGGATCCTGGCACATTCAAGGCGAGGACTTTAGCTGCTAGGCCATGGTGCCGGGCCCACTAAATCTGTTTTAACCATGAAAAACATCACACATTTCTAGTAATAAAGTTCAGACTTCCTGCAATAGCACGCTAGGCCTTCCCTGACCTAGTCTTTCTCTTCAGCTTTGTCTCTTTTTGTTTTTATGTATAATTCTCATAATAGATATGAGAAATCTAATGATTTCTAGTATGCACATGCAGACAGGTGTTCCGTGTTGCATTTAACATAACAGTTAAGGCAACTGATTCTCAAGTTGGAGTGCCTGGATTAGATTCCCCGTTCCAGCTCTTGACTTCAGCTTCCCAACACTGTAAACGCAGGAGGAGTAATAACTCCAGGAATTGGGTACCAGCATTAGCACCTAACAGGAAGTGAACTATCTTTTTCTCCTCTTAGCTGTATAATTTTTCTGTAAACATATCTTCTGAGCTTAAAAATTACCTGTATTTATTTATAGTCTTATCTGCACTATTATCACTTAATCTTTAACATAGATTATAAATTTGCTAAGCAAAGCCTGTGTTTCATTTCCTGGCCGTGTGACCTTACTTAGAAGTAATCATCATATTTTCTTGCTTTTCGTTTTGCCTATTAAATTGACTGTGTCACTATTCTAACAAATGGAACAGTAAAAAGGTGGAGAAACTTGGTTTTGAGTCTATTATTAATAAGTACTTCTAATTTTTTAAAGTGAACAATTTTTCCCCTAAGGCCATTAGCAGAGTTTTACTACTGCTTGTGATTTACAACTAATTATTTGCAAACCACAACTTGTAAATTGCAATTACATGGTTTTTTTTTATAAGCACACACATATATGGCTAATAATTCACAGTAAGGACTCACTTTTCTCAATGTGTATAATCTTGGGTTTTTTTTTTCATGATACAGTTCCTTCGCTCAGGGATTTTCCCTTCCGCCCTCCCAGGGCCCCGCCCTTGCACTGTTTTCTCCTGTACTGTGACAGTCTCACGGTCCTTCCACGATAGTCACAGGCCCGTTCTTCTGTTTAAATGTATCATGGCATTGTAGGTATAGACAGTGGAAGAAAGCTTTTATTGTCGACATATATATAACAGTTTTATTAAGAGTCCATCTTTTATTCAGAAGTAGAGAAAACACTGAAACTATTGACCAGGCTAAAGTTTGAAGTTGTGTATTGTGTTTGTCAGTCTAAATAACCCATCTGCTCTGTCAACCTGTATAATCTAGCCTGGGCTGTGTTGTACAGCAGCTTTTTTAAAAATTTGTTTTATTTTTTATTGGAAAGGCATATGTGCAGAGAAACGGAGAAACAAAGAAGACTTTTTTTTAATTAAAGATCTATTTTTAATTTTTATCACAAAGTCAGATATACAGAGAGGAGGAGAGACAGAGAGGAAGATCTTCCATCCGCTGATTCACTCCCCAAGGGACCGCAACGGCCAATACTGCACCAATCCGGAGCCAAGAGCCAGGAACCTCCTCCAGGTCTCCCACGTGGGTGCAGAGTCCCAAGGCTTTGGACTGTCCTCGACTGCTTTCCCAGGCCACAAGCAGGGAGCTGTGGATGGGAAGAGGGGCTGCTGGGACTAGAACTGCTGCCCATATGGGATCCCGGCACCTTGAAGGCAAGGACTATAGCCACTAGGCCATGGCGCCGGGCCCAAGAAAAAGGTCTTCATCTGCTGATTCACTCACCAAGTGGCCACAATGGCTAAAGCTGAACCAATCAGAAACCAGGAGTTTCTTCCAGGTCTCCCACATTGGCACAGGGTCCCAGGGATTTTGGGTATCCTCCACTGCTTTCCCATGCTTCAAGCAGGGAGCTAGATGAGAAGTAGAGCAACTGGGCATGAACTGGCACCATATGGGATCCTGGCACTTGAAGGTGGATAAGCCAGTTGATCACTGCATGAAGCCCCAAAGATGAAAACATCCTTAACTAGCATCTAACTACTTAGACCAGATGCGTTTTCTGATGGCTCCTGATAATTCAATTAAGGCTATACGTTTTGTTAGGGAAACCTACTTTTGTTAGGATATTAGACCCTTCTATATTAGGTCAAAAAGCTCGTGTGTGTGTGTGTGTGTGTGTGTGTGTATAGTTATATATATATATATATATATATATATATATATCACTGATAATTGAATATGTTATCTAATAAAAATTTGATTTTGCTCAAAATCACTAGCCATTGGGGAAATACAAGTAAAAACCACAACGAGGTATCCCTATACCCAGTTAGAAAGGCTGTCATGCAAAAATCAAAAATCACAAACGCTGTTGAGAATGTAGGGGGAAATGTACCCTAATGCACCATTGGTGGGAATGTAAACTGGTAAAAGCAGATGGAGATGTCCCAGAGATCTGAAAATAGATCTACTGTACAACCCAACCATTCCAGTCCTGAAAACAAACACCCTATCAAAGTGTTATGTGATCCTTCATATTTATATCAGCTCACCTCGCAGTAGCTGTGATATGGAATCAACCTTAATGTCCATCAACTGATGACTGGAAAAAGAAATCATGAAAATAAATGAAATACTACTTAGCTGTTTTTAAAAATGGAGTACTATATTTTGCAACAGAATGGATGCAATGGTAACCATTATGCTTGGTGATATAAACGAATCCCCCAAATAGGCAAAAAGTGTGTTGTTGTAAAAAGTAAAAGAAAAATAAGAAAAGCAGGAAAAATCAAAATGGGAGGGATGGAAGGGTGAAACGTGTTATGCTGTTAAAACTGTACTTATGAAATACATGAAATTTGTTCCCCTTATGTAAGTTTTAAAAGAAAAAAAAAATAGAACTTAGAAGCCAGACTCCCTAACTAAATCCTGGCTCTCCTGCTACTATATCTATTATAGATAGATAGATAGATAGATAGATAGATAGATAGATAGATAGATAGATAGATAGATAGATAGATAGATAGATTTATCTAGACTTCTCTTTCCTCATCTTGAAATGAGGGTAATAATGGTGCCTCATCATAAGGTTGTTAGGAAGATTAATGAGTTAATTTAGAACAGTGCCTTGACACATAGCACTCAAAAAGATTAGCCTATAGCATCATTAAACTCCATCAAGTTTTGACATATAATGTAACATTGCAATCTCTGATATTCCCCCGGCATAGTCTAGGTTTTGGAAATAGAGGAAATAATTCTTTCCTTATAATATTAATTTGGGGACATTTGAAATTTGGAGTCATTGATATTTGTAAATCGTTTCATTTGTAATTGATGCTTAAGAATCATATTCTCAGTTAATTATTTTCTTTTTTAGGTCACAGTGCTGTCGATATCACGAAGGTGGCTAGAAGACATCGAATGTCTCCTTTTCCTCTGACATCCATGGACAAAGCCTTTATCACGGTCCTGGAGATGACCCCGGTGCTTGGGACGGAAATCATCAATTACCGAGGTACTGTTCTGTTTGCACATTGCCTCTTCTCTTCTTCATTTTTTCCCCCAAGCAAGATTCATGTAATGTTAATGCAGTTTTTCTGAGAAAGAAATCACTAAGCATTATCACAATTATCATTCATTCTTGGTTTTTTTTTTCTTTTCAACTGTAGGATCTGCCTTGATAGTATACAAGTATAATACCATAAACCATCCTTTTCATTTAAAAAATGAGAAAAATTATGTTTTTCTGCTATTAAAATACCAATTTCTCTCTGTAATAGGAGATAAGCTTATGTGTCTTGTTAACCATTTGAAAAATGTCTGGTTTACAGTGCTTCAGCTTTATACCATTATGAAAGTTTCGGTGGAAACCGTACTTTGGATTTTTCATTTTGATCTTTTCCTGGGTTTACCCTACCTACACTTTTACACTGAGTATCTCCCACCAGCCATACGTCAGCGTTATCAGCTAATACTCTACGGCGTATTATGTTGCTAAATTGGAATGTTCAGAAGGTTAAGTGTATCAAATGTGATTTTGACTCATATTTTCAATTTATGATAGCATACAGGATATAACCCCGTGGGATGTGGGAAGCATCTGTATTGAAATTAAAACTTCAAGAAAATACATTGCTTTATCCAAGGATTACCAAACAGTCCTCTGATCCCAGTTTTTCTACTTCAACTGTCTTTTCATTTTCTTCTCTCGAATGGTGAAAATAATTTTTTAAATATTTTCATTTTTTGCCATTAATATTCAATGACCACTACAGAGGTGGAGGGGTTGGAATAACAGACCCACGTGCAGGAATGGAGAGGGTTTTGGAGGGGATGAGGGATGAGAGAGATGTCTTTGGCGGGAGAAGGGGAAAGAGTATGCTGCTCCTCATTGTCAGCAACATTGGTTGTGGGGGACAGAGGTCAGAGATGACATGTGCCATCTGTTCTCCCCGGGGCCCTTTATTCTCTAAGTTCTAAGGCCTGTTAATTGTCCGTACCCACCTTAGAGGGTCCACAGGCCTAGGTGCTTTCCGTAGACCTTGGCCTAAAGTGTTGTGCCAATTGCTTTTCTTTCCGTCTTTTGAAGTACTATCAGAAACTTTGTTAAATCCTGAATATACAAAGAGGAATGAAATTTTTTTTAAAAATGCCTGTGGCCAGCATTGTGGCACACCAGGTTAAGCTTCTGCTTACAGCAACATCTAATGTTGAAGTACCAGCTGACCTCCAACTACTCTTTTTCTGATCTAACTTCCTGCTAATGTGAAGGCAACAGAAGATGGCGCAAGAGGTTGGGCCCCCACCTGCCTGTGGTAGACCAGCACAGAGTTCCTGGCTCCGCCTGCCTGACTACTGCCTAGCCCACACCTGAATCTGTGGCCATTCAGGAAATGAGCCAGAAGGTGGAAGATGAATCTCTCTGTGTGTCTCTTCCTCTCTTTCTGTCGTCACCCTGCCTTTCAAAAGAGTAAATAAATTAACACTGAGGTGGGAAGACAGTAAAACTCCTGGACCGTGGATCTTACGGTCTCGTGCAGCGGAAAGACCGTCCGTATGGCCTTTCCTTTATTATCCTTAGTTATCCAAGGCCAACCTTGGCCTTCCATTGTCAGTTCCTTACATGAATCTTTCCTAGGGTCTTTTTTCCCCCTTTGTTCTTTTTCTTGTACTTTTACTTCAGATAACCTCATGCATGTCAGTGGCTTTGGATACCATCAGTAAAGTCACTTCTAAATCCATGTTTCTGTTTGAATTCCCAACTCATATGCCAGATTTTATTATATCTTTGCTACAACAAACACTAAGCTTATTTTCTCTGTCTCCACAGGGCTTGTTTCTTTTTTTATTATTGTTGGTTTGAATCTATCCTTTACTCTCTAGCCTCACTGCTGTTGTTTCACTTTAGTTCTTTATAGTTAATTTATTGGAACAAGTTTCTACCCTGTATTGATATCCTCCTCCCAGTTTTCCAATTTGATGCCAAAGTAACCAAATGTCCAATATTCTTAGAAAAAGGATTCATTTATTGAAAGAGTAATGTGAGGGGTTGTGGGGGTGGGGGCAAGACAGAAGATGTTCCATCCACTGATTCATTCCCCAAATAATCCTAGAAGCCAGGTTTAGGCTAGGCTAAAGCCAAGTGCCGGGACCTCCACTGAGGCTCCCTTGGGTGATGAGCCCAAGCTTGTGGACTGTCTTCTGCACATTAGCAGAGATCTGGATTGGAGGAACAGCCAGGATTCAAACCTGAGCTTCCATGTAGAATGGCACCATCACAAGCAGCAGCTTAATCCACTGCAGCACAATACCAGCCCCACCAATTTGTTATGATTCTCCCGAGACGCAGCTCTTCAGTGGTGTGAAGGAAACTGTAGCCTCAGGATTAAGCCACACTCCTTGACATATGATGGATGGCCCTTTATAATCTAATTACTGCTACTTCCTGCCTCCTTGTTAGAACTTGTATTTCCCCAACCTGATGTGCTCTTCCTTATCTCTTGTCCTCTTTTACTTCTAAACCTTTGCTCACGGTATCTTTTGCTTTATGTTAACTTCCTGTCTGGCTAACTGCTGTGTGTTCTGTCTAATCTGTGTATTCTTTAACATAGAGCATAAGGAGGACCTCTTCCAAGAAGGATTTCCTGATCTCCACTTCTCCCTTTTCCTAGCTGGGATAAGCACCCTTCTTGTTGAGCACCTTGTTCGTGTTTCATAACAAAACTGACTGGTGTAATTGCTCACTGTCATAAATGCCCTAATAAATAACAAAGACATAAAAAAGTGGAATGCTTTAAATGCAGATAACAGTAAAGTAATTGTCATGTCTCAAATATGACCTGTAATTCTCTTACTGAAGAGAAGAAGATTCAATCCAGCGAAAGGATTGGAGGGACAGATTTTTGATCTAGCAGTAGAAACCAGTTAGGACTTGTATGTCCTATATCCAAGTGCCAGTATCAGATCCTAGCTCCTCTTTCCAGTTTCTAGCTAAGGCAGACCATGAAAGGCAGTAGTGATGGATCAGGTTGTTGGGTTTCTTTCCCACATGTGTAATTACTTTCCCTGGAAAGCAATCCCTGTTTCTGTTGTATGGGAAACAATACAGCCATTGTAGGCATGTGGAGACTGAAACAGTGAATGGAACTGTCATCCGTCACTCGTTCTCTCTCTCTCTCTCTCTCTCGCTCCCTCCCTCTCCCTCTCTCCACCTACCTCCTTCTCATTCCCTTTCTCCCCACTGTCTCCCCTCTCAAATTAGTCTTTAAAAATTAATGACTATAAACTCATTCTCAATGTACTTTTTAAAATGTTGATTCATTTTTTGTAACTTAAAATGTGGAGCCACAGATAAAAAAAGAGAGAATCCTTCATCCACAAGTTCTCTCCCCAAATGCCTGCAGGAGCTGACGCTGGTCCAGGCTGAGCCACGAGCTTCTTCTGGGTCTCTGGTGTGGGTGGCAAGTACATGCCATTTTCACTGCTTTTCTCAGGCCATTACCAGGCAATGAGATCAGAAATAGATCACCTGGGACTTAAACTGGTGGCTGTAGGGAGTACCAGCAGGTGGGGTGGCTTTAACCACTCTGCTACAGTGATGGCCCCAACATGATGAGATCGCATGCCATCTCACTTGGAACATGAATCATACTTTTTGCTGTGCAATATATTTCATGCTATATACATTGTTCACTCATTAGTCAGCCTTGTTAGTTAAGTTACCAGATTGGTTGTTGATATATTGCTGTGTCTCTACTCAAGCAACCCTTGTTTTACTTAATAATAGCACCAAAGTACATAAGTGATGATACAATGGAAGTAGCATGGCATAAAATATGGAAGACAGATTAACTCTAGTATTATGTAATAATGCAGGGCATATAGGGGAAAACATCGTATGCATACATATATAGTCATATATGTACATATACGTTATATATACATACATTTATATGTGTATATAAATGATTTTTTGGTACTATTTGTGGCGTATTTTGGAACATATCCCTTGTGAGTAAAAGGGGATTACCATACAAAGAAATGTAATGAAATGTTGATTTTGAAGAATGCAAGAAGGATGAAGTTAGTGATGTAATAAAATACAGAACTATATATAAAAAATGAGATGTGCATATTTTGGAGGTTTAATCAAGTTCATGGACTGAAGACATAAGAGAATCTGAAGGAAATTTTGAATGAGTACAAGTCTCCACATCCATGGAAAATGGAAAAATCTATAGCAAATGCTAACACAGGCCAATATTCCAGGAGATGTTTGCAAATAAATAGGATCATTCTACATGAAGACCACACTACACTGGAGGTAGAAACTGGAGGCAGTAATTTTGATAACAGAAAATATATACTTTCACTTGAAACACCTGAATAACTTTGTCAATTCTTGTACTTCAACTTTGTAAAGTTCAACCAGACATAGGCAGAAAAACAGTTAGAACTGCTATTTAAAATTTTAAATGAGACCACACATGCCTGAATGACCTGAGTAGTTGGGATATAAATTTGAGTATATCTATGTGGTCTATAGATTGTTAATGTGCCCAACACATGGGGCTGAGTCCAGGAGTTCTATAATTTTGTCTGTATTTGTCCAAGAAAATCGTAAGAACTCATATGGCCTAAATATCCAAAAACCATATTACCCATCAGCTCTCTGTGCTTCTCCCTCCCCACTGAAGGGTGGGTACCACTTGTGTACTTTCAACTGTTGTGCTGAGTAAACTCCCTTGTTTGGGAGGAGTTGACTTTTGTTGTTATATAACGGAATCGATATAACTTAGGCCTGTCACCTTTCCTTGGTTGTCCTACGTAACAGCCTGATACAGAAATCTTCCTTTTTCATGTTTCATACCTTCATACCATTATATATTGCTGAATATATGTCCTGTGTTTTTAAAGTTTAAAGCATATTATAGATGTGCTTCAGTTTCTGAAATTTTGATGGAACATAATTCAGTCGAAAGGGGTGTGTTTAGGAAAGTAACTTTGAATTCAGTGCTAATATTTGCAATAAATCCCACTGAGCACATTTACATTTTTCATCATATTTGTCTAATTTTAGTAAAATGGCTGGCCATGTATTTAGAGTTCACTGTTTCAATAGCCTTTCCTAAATTGCTCTGAAAACAATTAAAATGTGCCAAAAAAAAAAAAAAGATAGCCACCTTCCCATACAGACTGTTTTGTTTTCTCTAACTTTACAAACATTTTAGGTACTTTTAGAAACTTATCCCCCTTCCAAAAAAATGCCCTCTTTTATTTTAATTAAGTTAAATATATTTATGATTACACAACTACTGTTTTAAAAGTTTAGCAATTTCTATAGATAAATGAACATATGTAGCACTGATTGTGAAAACCCCAAGCTTAAGCTAATGTTACACACAGTGAGTTAAGCCACTGCCTGCATTGCCAGCAGTTCATATGAGAAGGGATTTGAGACCTGGCTGCTCCAGTTCAGATTCAGCTCCCTTCTGATGTGCGTGAGAAAGCAGTGGATGGCTCTGCTGGTTGCGCCAGTGCTCCCCACAGAGAATTGCGGGTTTTTGGTTTCAGCCTTGCCCAGCCTTGGTCGTTGCAGTCACCCTGTCCACACCACCAAAACCTCTTCCCTCTCCTTGCTTCCCATCGCCCTTCCCCCATCTGTAATTCTGCCTTTTAAATAAATAAATATTGGAGGGTGGGGGAAACCTATCTTATATAATTCATTACCAGTTCCATTGTTTCTTTTTGTACTGCTAAATTTTGACTTAATCATTTCTGGTTCTCATGGTATTTTAAGTATTCCAGATTGTACAGCCTTTCTTTAAACTTGTTTTATTTTAGGGCATAAAAACTGTAATTCTTCCCTTTACTCATCAGATTGCCGGTTAATGAGCCACCTTAGTTGGATAAATACAAGTACACAACACAATGGCTCTGAATGATGTGTTTAAAAACTATAGGAATTTTAATATATTAGTCCATGAACATGTCTTCTGGAACTACGTTTTAACTAATGTACTGGCTTTCACTGAAGGGGAATTGACTTTCATTCAATCCCTTTAAATCATATTTAACTTTAGAAATAAATTCTGTTTTGATCTCATTCATGTTTATTGTCAGCTATTTTAACCTGAACTATTCTTCCCGAAGATGGTGGGCTGGTTAACTCAATCCTGTGCTGCTAGCACTCCAGCTGGTAACGAGTGTGTTAAACATTGTTATTACATAGCAAGCTGAATCATAAGTGTCCCGAAACAACCCAAAAGTCTCAAAGTCTTTTGATTCATTCACCACTCTGCACGAGTAAGCATACAACCATGTACCAGCCACCCTTGTCTGTGTCCTCATTAACCTCTGGAAGTCACTGAGTTGTCTGTAAGGCCCAGGTGACACGTAGCCCTGTAAGAACTCTAACACTGCAGAATCAAGAAGAAAATTTTTATTTCATTGTCTTCATTAATTTGACTTATAGGATACAGTATATGGAGGAAAGCAGAATAGAATGGATATTAGTTCCTCAATTCTGAAAGCAGGACTGTAACTTCTTGGCACACAGCCTTAACTCTGAGCAAAGTGAAATATTCTTTGCAGCCTTTGAAAAAGTTGTAAACTCCCACTACCAAATGTTCCCAAACAAGCAGATTCATTATACTAATGACATATTGGAAAAACTAACTGTAGCTTAATGCAGTTCTCATTTGAGTGAACAAACTTGGAAAAATAAATTTTGTTCATGATTTCCTGAAAATGCATCTTCCATTGCATCATTTGATTTCCAGTGCTTCAGCTGCTCGCTATATTATTTCTTCACCAAATGTTAAGCCTAAAACAGTCATTATATGCAGGTGAGAGTTACTGCTGCCTGGTTCCTATTTAAGATTGAAGCCTAAGGCTGCTTTTCTAAAAATCATGTAAAGGCAGACATTTGGCACAGCAGTTAACAAGCATGCCTCTTGGGATACCCACAGTCCCATATTGGAGAGTCTGGGTTTGAATTCTGGCTCTACTCCCAATTCCAGTTTCCTGGTAACACACACTCCGGTAGGCAGCAGGTGATGGCTCAAGTACTTGGGTTCCTGTCACTGATGAGGAAGAGCCAGATGGAGTTCCTGGCTTCTGGCTTACAGTAAAATCACTAATATCTTCAAAAACATTTAAATTAGGAAACTACAAGGAGAACCTAGGTAAATTTACAGAACTTAACATTAGCTTCCCCTAGTCCCACTCCTAGTGCTGATCTCTCGATTATTTAGGGATTATAGCAGGGATAATAGTACTCATGGGGTACTGTTAGTATAAATAATGTAAAATAAATGAATTATTAGGAGGATGGGTGTTGTGGTACACAGGTTAAGCTACCATTTTGGGTGCCCACATCCCTTTTTAGACCTAGGATCAAGTTCCACCTCTGCTTTGGCGCCAGCTACCTGAAGATGCAGCTAGGAAGCAGGAGTTGATAACCCACATCCTTGACTTCCTGCCACCATGTTGGAGCCCTGGTTTCTGGTTCCAGGCTCCTGGTTTCGGCCTGGCCCAGCCCTAGCATTTGAGTGAACTGATGAATGGGAGATATGTCTTCCTTCTTTATTCCATCCCTCCTTCCTTCTCCTTTCCATTCTTTCTTTCCCTTCTTCCTCTATCATATGTGCAGATAAAATAAAAAGCAAGCAAAATCCAGTACGATTGCAATAACAGCTACTGCATTTAGTTAGCATCTGTTCAAAATAAGAGCTCATCAATTATATATATGTATTTAAATTATATATTATATATAAATAAATGTATATAGTTAAATTTTTATAAATAATCTTAACTAAATATAGAGCATGTCTTTCTTTCCAGATGGAATGTTTTCTTTCTTATTCTATGATATTTGAAGAAAGCCTTTAAAGACCAGATGGTATGAGTGATACAGTTATGACTTTTCTAAATATAGTTAAGTGCTTTTCTTTTTACATCTTTTGGTGTCCTTGCCTTTTAATGTTAAAAAAAAATGCTCTATTAAAAGTTATTTCTTTACTTACAGTGCAAAGTTCAAGAGGTTTTAATATGTTCACAGTCATATACAGCCATCACCGCCATCAATTCTGCAGCATTTTTCTCAACTCACAAAAATTTCCCATCTTTTTATCTAGCATCTTCCTGTCCTCTCACTACTCCCTGTCCAGCCCTAAACCTGCTGGTAGATTTTTCCTACTCAGTACTTCTTATAATTGAGATCCTATAATATGTTGTCTTTTGTGAATGGCATCTTCTTCTTAGCATAATATTTTTGAAATTTGTTTATGTTGTAACATGTACCAGTGGTTCATTCATTTTTACAAATTGTGGTAAAGATGTGACATCATTTTAACCTGTTTTAAGTAGGCAGTTCATTGGTATTAGGGGTATCTGCATTGTTCCATTCATCTCCAGAACTTTTTGGTCTTCAAAACTGAAGTTCTGAACCAGTTAAACATTTAATTCCCCAACCCCTTCTTCTCCCAGCCTTTGGTGAACTCCATTCTATTCCCTGGCTTTATGGTTTCAGCTCTTCAAGGTATTTCATGTAAGAGGGCTTATACAGGATTTGTCCTTTTATGACTAGCTTATCTCACTTAGCATGATTTCTTCAAAATTCAACCATGTTGTAGCAAGGGTCAGAATTTCTTTCCTTTTTAATTGTGGGTAATACTGCTTTATGCATATGCCACATTTTACTTGCCGATTCATCTGTAAGTAGGCTCTTGAGTTGCTTGCACAATTGATAACTATTAATGATGCCATTGTAGACACGCATATACAAGTATCTCTTTCAGACCAAACCAGGAGGTCAGAACTCTCAATCTAGGTCTCCCACATGAGAGCTGGGACCCAAGTGTTTGAGTCTTACCTGCAGCCAACCAGGAAACTGGAATTAAAAGCAGAATTAGAACTCCAACCTAGGCTCTCCATGTGGGATGGAGGTGTCCCAGGCAGCCTCTCAATCACACTCCATCTTTTTCTACAGATGAATACGTTTATGTCTTAATATGTTAAAATTATACACGGTGGATATGATTTGCATGTGATGCATATCCTAAGAATTTTCCTATGTCCACAAATATTCTTCATAAGCTATGCTTTAAACATGTATATTATTATAGAAATACACCATTTACTTAAATACCCATGTTTTTTATTTTTTGATTTCTTTCCATTTATTACTAATGTATGCAACTTAAATAAGTATGTGGTAACACCTACTTCTTTATGTTGTATTTTAGAAGCGAAATTAATGGATCGATGGACATGAAGGTGTTTAAGATTTGACTTTCTTTTTAAAGAAAAATCATATTTGAATTGTTAAAGGATTGATGACTGAAACAGCTCTTATTGAGATAATTTCTACAGGAATTACCATGAATTGACTGGATATATTCTTTTATGATAGGTACCAGAATGCATCTCTTCTGTCTCCTGCTACATGTCATTTCTAGCTTGTTTATACTTACCTGCTACCCCAAAGCTCTCAATATCCACATTTCCTTTCTTTCTTTCTTTCAGATGGAATGGGGCGAGTCCTTGCTCAAGATGTATATGCAAAAGACAACCTTCCCCCTTTCCCCGCATCAGTAAAAGATGGCTATGCGGTCCGAGGTAAATATTTTGGTTTTCTTTAGTTGTCACCAGACTCACAATACATCTTTTTTAATTTTTGAGTTAGTCCAGGTAACCAATGACAATTACGTCCATTTCCCCCATGGTTGTCAGAACAACGTTTTTTTGTATAGCCTATACGTATGTATTCCTGGTACAATATTTAAACTTTTCTGTGAAATTGACATCTGGAGAGTTAAGTTTGAAAATTTCCAGACCAAAAATGTCTGCTATCCAGCATGTGTGGGAGCTGAATAAATAAAGTGTGTACAGTATTTTTATTTGATTCCTGTATGTTACATAGAAATTCTTGCTTCCAAATGAATATAAAGAGATCAAAGAAAACACCGCTATTGCTTCAGTGCGTCCACATGCCAGACAGCAAAGACTGTCTTGGTCTGGAAGTTTCCAGAATGTTTCTTGAGAATGGGCTATGTGATCCCAGAAGTAAGAGCATATTTCCAACACAAAGAAAAAGCAAGGTGTTCCATTCTACTTTAAATGCAAGCATTACTAAAATGCTTCTTGAAAAGGAAGCAAGAGGGAAACTTCTAATCCTCTCTGAAAGATGCCTTATTTCAGAGTGCTTGAGCCACATATGGTATCAGCAGAGTTGCCTGAGAGTGTAGGAAGATTCAAAGCAAATACTTCATGGCATTTGCCTGCCTAAAATCCAGGCTGACAACCCAAAATGAAAATGTAACAGAATTGCATAGAAATCCTTTTTTTTTTAATTTTCCATGTGCAACACGTTTTGAAATGTGTACTCTAACATGTGGAATATTTCTGTTGAGCTACTTAACACATGCGTTACCTCACATATCCTTATCATATTTTGTAGTAATAACATTTAAAATCTTCCTTTGATGATTATCAAAATCTAATACATTGTTTTTTGTTACTAACTAAAGACTGATATCAAAGAAATATTTTTAAAATGTTTCCAGCTAGACTTGTTAAAAAGGCTATGTCCTTTTGCATGGTCAATTATGGAGTTTTACTTTACCTAGGAAGATCTATTAGTTATAATTTCCTTTTTCTTATAATTAACTACTTTCATTAATCTTTTCCACATTCATTAACCATCTCGGCAGTGTGTTTTTATGTTGGAGGCCATGTGGCAAATGGTTAACATTATATATGGGCTTCAGAGAAAGAATTACCCAGATTCTAGGATGAGTTCCATCTGTGTAACTTTGAACAGATCTCTTAAAGTTTTGAACTTCTGTTTTCTCGTCTGTGCAATGGCTGATTTTATGATGTTTAACTATCAGACAGACCACATTAAGAACCATAGAAAGCAAAGTACCTGGCACACACAAAAACACTCTGTATGTTTTTTAATCTTTAATAATTTTTGCTATCACCATTATTGTTGTCTGAACTGTTACTCAAATGTTCTAAGTACATGAGATGCTTAAGAGATGGACTTTATGTATTACTTTCCACTGGAGTCTTCTTCCTTAGGAAGTCAACTCTAGACATATCTCATTCAGCTTGATCTTACAAGATTAAATGTCTTATGAAATTAGCAAAACCAAAAATAAATAACTATTCATCAATGATTCCTTTGCTTTTTCTTCTGAACTGAGTCATTCTGCAGTATTTATTATAATGAATCTTATCCAGAAAGAAAATGATTTTATTCACCTGACTGGCCCATTGGGTCTTATTTCTTATCTCCATCTAAAATGTTAGTTTTGTTTTGATCTTACAATTTGTAACCATATAGGATTATTATGAAATGACTAAGAATTTTTACTTCCAGAGTAGAACAAAAAACAATAGCAGATGAAATAACGAAGATTTTTTTTAGTCTGTTTTTTATATTCTTTATATGTACAGTAGGGGAATACAGGAAGATAATTAATGCAGGAGTACTCTCAAAGAACATGTTGTTCTGTGCTTTTACATGAAGTAGCAGCAGTTCAACAAACAAAGTATTGGCCTTAGCTCTTCTTTTTACTGAGGACTGCATGACACATAAAAGATTCACAAAGTCTTTTATAGACTCACAAAGAAGTTTTGTGTGAAATTACCATTTAGTATTTTACTGTTTTGTTTTGGACAGGTGTTTTTATTTTATTCACACATACATCCATAGAATCTAAAATGACATCTCACAGTATAAATTGCCCACGAAATTGTCTACTGTGAATCCAGTTCACATTATTTTCTTCCTAGAAAGTGTTACTAGTTCCCTAGTAAAGACATAACATATATTAATAATCATTTTGGATATGGTTAAATCTCACAGTAGGAAAAAAAGATAGATACATCCATCTATCGATGGTAGACCAGTAGATAGATAGCAATTTGGATGCCATACCTGAGACAGCAAAAGTCATCAGAGACATGGTCTTATAATTATGCAGAATTTCTCAGTTTACACTACCTCATCTTCTTAGTTCAGGATGAAAAACTCCATGACATACCTTTTGTATATTAACTAATCAAAGAGATTTTTATTTCTCCTAGGGTAAAAGCATTCTTTAGTCTCTTCAGTACTATTATTTCACCTACAGGCAGTGTTTTGGTGAAGAATATCCTTGATACAGTTTGTCATGGCTCTGTGCCATGCTGTACCTCCTCTCCACCCTGCCTTCCTTTGCTTGGTTCCTTTCTCCCCACTCCCTTTACTTTCCCTCTTTTCTTCTCCTCTGCCTTTGCCTTAGGCCTTCCAGTAATAACCAGTGGCACTCGTGATCATTGCTAACGCTCTAGGTGTAAAGAGGTTGCTAACTTGCTCTGGATCACTAAGCATTAGCCAGTATCCTTCAGAAACATGTGTGATAAAACTCCAAACCAGTTGGAGGAGCACTTGCTTTAAGGTATGTGGCTTGAAAAATTCAGACAGTGGCTAAGAAATAAACAAATACCTTTTAAAAAATGAGGTAAAATGTAAAGAAGGCAGATATCAAGTGATGATATGTAAATAATATAAATACCTATAACCTAATAATCTTGAAACTGCTTCAAAAAGGAAGGAATTTGAAAAATGAAAATAGACAAAAGAAGATGAAAGTGTCATTGACAATTGAAATGCACTATTCTTAGCTCTCATGTTTTTGAGCTGTTTTTTTCTTCATAGTAATTTAATCATGCTCTTGATGCAGCCACTCTAGGCTATATAGTGTCAGAGTTTGTAAGATTTTAATAAAAACAAAAATATCTTAGAGTCCAAGTTCAGCTTTGTTTTAAAAATTCAGTTTGACTGGCAGGTGTCATGTCATAAAAGACTAGGCTTCTGCCTTTGACATAAACATCCCATGTAGGTGCCAATTCAGGTCCTGGCTGTTCAACTTCCCATCCAGGTCCTTGTATGTGGACCAGGAAAGCAGCAGAGGATCGTCCAGAGCCTTGGAAACCTACACCCACATGGGAAACCCAAAAGAAGCCTCTGGCTCCTAGCTTTGGATCATCTCAGCTCTGGCCACTGCAGCCAACTGGGGAATGAAACATCATACATATGGAAGAGCTCTGTGTCTCTCCTCTCTGTAACTCTGCCTTTCAAATATAAATAAAATCTTTTTAAAAATAATTCATTTTGGTTAATTCTAAAATGCTCAAAACACTTGAATAATTTCTAATACTAATACCTGGACAATTTTCTTCTGAAAGATGACAATAAAAAATGCAAAATGACTTCTCATCCATCTATTCCCGTGAGAAAAGGCAACAGATTTAAAATTCCAATCTGCCTAACTTAATTTATTTATCAATATACTTATTGCAAGTAATCTTTTTTTTTTCAGCTTTGGCATTTTCTCTTATGAACTCTCCAGCCTAACCCTTGCTGTAGCTGAATTGGAATGTATAGCTGTGCCCTTCCTCATTGAGTCTTAGTATAGATCCCTAAGCAGAGTGAACAAATTATTAATCCTCCCTCAGTGATATTTCTTAGGATCTCTGAAACATGATGTCTAATGGGCTTCAGTTTATTCAGCCTTTACATGATGATAGTCTCTTTATTATTGAAAATGAATTAATAGCTAAATAGCCATTCAGAGGCTTAAAGAGAGAGAACAGATGACTGGAAAATGAAAATGAAGGATAATTATTTGGGAAATGTCTTGGAGACAACAATTTTCCACACGTTATTGCACTGAATAGCCATCTGCTAATATCAATTTTATATAAAATAATATAATTTAAGATCATCAAACAGATAAGACTGGAAATGACGCCTTAACATTAAAAATGGGAAGAACAAAGAGAAACTCCAAGGTCTAATATGAAGCATTACGAAATGCTTGTGTAACATACTTGTTCATTTTGCTTTTGCCACTTCCTTCAAATTAAATTTTATAATTACAAAGCAGAAAAGAAAATTAACGGGCATGTGAAAATTAAGAGGAAAAAAATTTTAATCTTAGCAAAATTTTTGGAATCTATCCTTTTATGTCCAATGGCAGTAGTTTATTTATTTTCCCAAGCCGTTGGTTCATGTGCCATTATACCTCTACTTCTGATCTCTTGGCTTAATGCTCATGAAATTCATCTTGGGACTAGCAGCTTGATTTATTTATTTACTTACTTAAAAGAGTTACACTGAGAGGGAGAGACATAGAAAACAGAGGTCTTCTATCCTGCTTCCATCTTGATCAGAAATAGAGCAGCTGGGACTCAAACCAGTACCCACATGGGATGCCAGCATCACAAGTAGTGCCTATGTGCTGTGCCATAGTGCCAGACCCCTGAAATCCTACTTTTTTATGATTTATCTATTTTTATTGGAAAGGCAAATTTATAGAGAGAAGAGACAAAGACCTTCCTTCCACTGGTTCATTCCCCAGCTGGCCACAACAGCCAAAGCTGAGCCAGTCCAGAGCCAAGAACCTCCTCCAGGCCTCCCATGTAAGTTGCAGAGTCCCAAGGCTTTCCCAGGCCACAGTCAGGGAGCTGGAAGGGAAATAGAGCAGGCAGGAAATGAACCAGTGCCCATATGGGATCCCAGTACATGCAAGGTGAGGATTTTAGCCAGTAGGCTATCATCCAGG